AATTTTAATATACTGTATTAATTATTAGTGAATATTAAATAATACACTTCAACTACTATTTAATTTATTTACCTTTCCAATAACATCTAAAATTTTTTTTAACCTATCCTTAACTATAAGATTTAGAATGTAAGCAAAACAGCAGTTATGAAAAAGATCTTTATTGATATTTATAAATGAGTCTTGTAAAATACAATTGGCTAATTTATGAATTGCAACATTATTTGAAGTAGCATTATCTAGAGTAATAGTTTGTAATTATAATAATAAAACCATAAAACATTATTTAACTATATTTTTTTTAAAACAATATTTTATATATCTTCATTAATATTAAAATTAATTAACAGCTTAACATATATAAATTACCTTAGTGGTAATAAACTATTCATCTATTTCAGTTTTAATACAGTTGGTGATATTAATACCAGTGTATAGATAAGGGATTAATGGAAATAATAATAAATAAACACAAGGTTCCAACCCTTATCAAGAAAATACGTGATAACTGATAAGTATCCAAGTTGTTGAAGTGACATACAAGCATCACAAGTTAGAGAAATTTTGCCTTCAGCATTTTGAAAGATTTCTTTGATTAAAGTTTTTCTCTTATTATAAGCTTTCATGATATCTCGTTTAATCATATCAGCACTAATACTAAAATTAGATAACAACCCATTAATAAGGTTACGAAAGCCTTGATCTTCTACGAATTAAAAACTTAATTCATCCCAGACAATTATATTACTTATATCTTTTTGGGCCGAATCATTTGTATATGGTTCTTTTTTTGGAAAGTTAAATTTTAATTGTGTTTGACCATTTGATAAATTTTGAAATTTTAAACAAGCACCAAGATGGTGCCGTAGATAAGATGTACTACACCCTTTATTGTGACTAAATAACCTATTATAGTCAAACCTCTATAAATGCAACCTCTATAAATACAATATCTTTCTAAATGCATATTTCTGGCCTAGCTGTAAGAATTATTAGTGCTAAATACACGTTCACTCAAAAGATTTTTTATATCATACTAACCTCTCTAAATGCACGTAGCCAATCAGAATTCAGCATTCAAGTTGTGTTACACAAGCCTGCAGATCAAACATCAAAAGCTGCAATTTGATTGGCTTTCTCTAAATGCAAACCTCTCTAAATGCATAATTGAAGCTGGTCTGTACACATTGCATTTATGGAGGTTTGACTATACAATATTCACATTTAGCCTTTGCTCATTTGTTAATAAGGTAAAATGTTTCCAAATAGCAGATATATGCTTTGATGATATGAAGGTTTCATTGGTAGCTTTGCTAGCAGTTTTATCAGCAATTTCACTAGGTACTCTATTGGGGATTTTATTTATACTCTTGCTAGTTGTAGTTTCATTGTTAGGTACAAGAGACATTGAGGCGAACTCATTAGAGTTTTCTATTTCATTAGTGTTATCAAAATTATACTCCATAGAATTATCCAGCTTAACAAGCTTATTTTACTGTTAATATAGTATAAGTTTTTAAATATTTTTATTAAATAGAAATTTACAACACAAATATTCAAACTTACTATAGCTTTTATACTTGGCAGATAATTTAGTACTTGGCTTAAGTGCAGGTAATTAATTTAGTTTTTTTTTTTCTATATTTTTGGTTTGTTTTTTTGGTTTTTTTTTTTAAAATTTCATAAAGAGAGCTCTAATAAAAAAGCATTTAAGAAGAAAGGCACTAGTAAGTTATATATTAGCAATTCAGCATCTTAGTAATTAGCATTAGTACGCAATAAGCTATTAAAAATTTTAGAATGTAAGAAAAAAAGATATTGATTGATTGCCTTATATAGATATAAATGATAATTACGTGTCCTAATTCTATTAGACATATCAAAAGTAACAGATACCCATAAGCCCAAGGGTAGTGTATATATTACCCTAGCCCTACCCATTATTGTGAGAGCTTAAAATTCCAAACTCTTATCCTTACTGTAGAGTTTAAAATCAATACCCTAGTTCAGCTCTTGTAGAGCTTATCCACAGGTATCTGCAGGTATACCAGGCTTATGCGGAGGCCTAATCACAATTATAGCTTGTTCTTAGTAGATTTTGTATCCTGCCTTAGAACTTCTATAGATTTATCCTGAGTTTGTACTGACTAATTACTGGCTTGCATTTCTCCATTAAGCAGATACCACAGCTATTCTTGAAGTAAACCTACTAGAGCTTTTCGTACCTCATTCTGGCCAGCCTAGTCTTTGCAGTCTCCAAAGATTCCACTTGTGATATAGTTTAGTGACCATTATGCTCTTATAAAGTTCACTTTCTACTCCGATACCCACATTTGAACTTTCTTTTTTTCATTATTCCCTAACTGGTCTATCTCTTACTTCCAACTAACAACCCGGAAGGTTCGACTTAGACCCGGCTCTAGGTGCTCTTTAGCCTATCTCATCTTGGTATACACTTCCATAGCATGTGTTCTTTTTTTCCAACTTTTGATACCTAGTTTTCTAAAGTACTCAGCCATTTTTTTGTTGGATCGCTAGACCTAAAACTTTCAATCCAAAGGTTCACCAGGGTAGATTCCTCTCACTACTAACTTTCCCAAAGTTGGTAATCTGGTTGGTGTAGCTAGTATACTTGCTACAAGTTTCAAGTTCTCCAAATTGGCGGTTCAGTTGGTGAATTCCCCACTTAAAGATCTTTTGTCATTCAGTTTATCGATCTTGGTTCTAACTTCCAAATTTAGTATTTTCTGTAACACCATCAAAGATTTTAGCTACCTCCTTACTTGGGGCTTCCAAACAGATATTGATTATCCTAATTATCTGAATTTTATATGCCAAAGCTTCCATTCTAGATAGTGTATCAAATAACCGATCGGCGAATAATCATATTGAACACAGGTCCATTTTTCAATATCATCATCTATAAAATTTGAACTCTAGACCTGCTGCTTGGAGGTGACAACTCTACTACTTCACTATGTTGTCACACCCCTGTATTATATGTTTTATTTATTAGAATAATTAAATATATAAAATATTTTTTACAGATTAACTAAGGCACTTGAGAAAACCTAAGTAAAAATCAAGCAAGTTCATTTAGAATTCTGTTATGATTGAAATCCATAAAATTCTATTTAAATAAATAATAATACAGAATAAACTTACACTTCACTATAAACGCCAAAACAAGACAAACTGAAAAATTTTTAATATTTCGATCTGTTATCCCTTAATATGTAGACCAACGTAGGCAAATTTGCCTGCATTTTTGCACTTTTTTAGCTCTAATTTACTTTTTTAAAATGCTAAAATATTTAAATAAAAC